CTAGGTGGTTTGTTTGATGCAAAGAGGCAGCATGGTGGCCAGGCTTCCTACACCAACAGTTTGGCAAGGTGAACCAAAAATAGGTATAACAGGGTATGACAGGGGCCCTGTCTGTTTCAGACAGAGCACTTTGGTTGGCAGCAATGGATAGAAAGATTGAGTGAGACAAGTCAGAATAGAGACTAGGGGTCATGTTAAGAGACTATTGTAAGGGCTGGAGAAATGGTTCAGCGATTAAGAGCACTTGCCCTTGCTGAGGACTGGGGTTAGGTTTCCAGCATAAGTCTAGTTCCAGAGGATCCAACACCTTTTTCTGGCCTGTTTGAACACACACAAACATGGCATACACAGACACATACACATAAATAAAAATAAATCTTAAAAAGAGAGACTATCTAGGCATGGTGGCGCACACCTTTAATACCAGCATTCAGGAGGCAGATGCAGGTGGACCTGTGTGAGTTTGAGGCCAGCGAACATAGTAGCCTGGTCCCCATAGCGAGTTCCAGGCCAGTTGAGGCTACAGGGAGACCCTGTCTCAAAAAGACAGAGAGAGAGAGAGAGAGAGAGAGAGAGAGAGGAGAGAGACTACAGTAACTTCAGTTCTATTCTCAATAGATAAGATACAGAATTGATCAATAGCGAATGCATAAACAGAATATGGTAAACAATTGATGTGGTGGCTGATGCCTATAATCCTAGAACTTGGGAGACTGAGGCAGGAGGATTGCCATGAGTTCCAGGCTAGCTTGGGCTACAGAATAAGATTTTATCACAATAATAACTATAACTATATAACTATATAACTACATATATATATGTACACAATGGAATTTTGTTGGACTTAACAAGAATGAAATTTGGGGGCTCAAGCAATGGCTCAGCAGTTAACAGCACTGTCTACTCTTGCAGAGGACCTGGGTTCAATCCCACCACCCATATGTTGGCCGATAGCCATCTGTAACTCCAATTCCAATTTCCAGGGAAATCCAATGCCTTCTTCTGACCTCCGAAGACATTGAATGATATGGATGCACTTATACAAATGCAGGCAATACACTCATACACATTAAAAAAAAGAATGAAGCCGGGCATGGTGGCACACGCCTGTAGTCCCAGCACTTGGGAAGCAGAGGCAGGTGGATCTCTGCGAGTTCAAGGCCAGCCTGGTCTACCTAGTGAGTTCCAGGACAGCTCGGGCTACAGGGAGACCCTGTCTCAAAAAGACCAAAAAACAAACAAACAAACAAACAAAAACAATGAAATCCTGTCATTTGAAGTAAAATAGAACTAGAGGGCATTATGCTAAGTAACATGAGAAGGATCCGAACTGTGATGTGGCAGAATGGTTGGGGAAGGAGTCATATATGAGTAGCAGTTGGGAGATCAAATGGGTAGGAGTCTGTGGTTAACTAGAAGTGAGAGAAAGGAAGGATTCAAGAATAATTTCCAGGTTTCTGGCCAGAAGAACTAAGATAGAAAAGCTATTAGAGGCTCCTGACTGAAAAGGGCAGCCTGAGTGCAAAGATCACCTCTATTCCTTCTTCAGCTTTATTTATCTGGAGAGATGGCTTCGTTGGTAAAGCACTTGCCAGGAAGGCATAAGGATCTGAGTTCAGATCCCCAGCACCCAGATAAAATGCAGGGCTTTGGTATGTCTGTAACTCCAGTGCTAGAGGGAGGGAGGTATAAACAGATTCCTGGAGCTCATTGGCCAGTCAGCCTAGCTTAGTCAGTGAGCTCAAGGTTCAGTGAGAGACTCTGTTTCAAAAATAAGGTGGAAAGCAGCTGAAGGAGATACCTGATATCAACTTTTGGCCTCTACATGCATACATGCACACATGTATACATACCTGTACACATTTACATGCACACACAAACTACACCATGCACACACACAGAACTTTATTAAAATGGCAAGATATGGGGGCTGGAGAGATGGCTCAGTTGGTTAAAAGCACTGAGTGTTCTTGCAGAGGACCAGGTTTGGTTTCTAGCACCCACATGTCAGCTAACAACCACCCATGACTCTGGTTCCAGGGGATCTGATGCCCTCTTCTGGCCTCCATGGGTATTGTATGACATAGGTGCACTTACATCCAATACACTCATACACATAAAATAAAAATAAATTAAAAAAATTGAAATTGGGGCTAGAGAGATGGCTCCATGGTTAAGAGCACTGACTGTTCTTGCAAAAGCCTGGGTTCGAATCCCAGCACCCACATGGCAGCTACAAACCATTCTTAACTCCAGTTCCAGGGGAATCCGAAGCCCTCTTCTGACCTCCGTGGCATTGCATGGCATGGGTGCACTCACATGCAGGCAATACACTCATACACATAAAAATAAAAATAATAACAAAAAAATAAAATTAAAATTTTTTTTTTAAATTTAGAATTATGATTTGTTCATTAAAGATTAAAAATAATTAAAGAAGTGGAAGAAGAAAGTGTTTCTTGAGCTTAAAAAAAGAGAATATTTAGATGGTAAAGGGCTTCTAAGCACTAAGATGGAGAAATGCACACACGTGGAGAAGGCGGATGGGCAGAAGTAGATGTGTCTGATTTGAAAGCATCTTGGGATAGAAATTCAACCCGACTGTTGAGTACTTAGAATGAAAGCCCTGGTAGTGGTCTGGGCTAGAGGGAGATTTGAGAATCATCCAAGGACTTTTGGAGAGGGAAAAGAAGAGAGTAGAGGAGGAGACAGGAAAGGAGAGGACTGAAGAGGGAACCTAGGAAGGACAAATAAAACAGCCATAACCTTCTGTGCTTCTTGGGAGGTGTCTTAGTTGCTGTCTTCCAGGGAGGATCAATCTATCCCTCTGGCACCCTGGGCTCCTGTGGGCAAGACTGTTCTCTCAAAACACAATCCTCCTGCCTGGGAGGATGGATGGATTTGTGGCTTGACAAGGGTGAAAATTGCTGGGAAGATAGGGTGGTGGCTCAGCGACTCAAATTAGTCCATTTTCAGGTGGAAATCAAATCTTCATTCTTGCTGAAACAAGCCGTCTTTCCAGTGAAGCACTCATTCTGAACCACTTAGAAGCAAACGGCACATCTAATGGCAGGAGATAGCACACCTAATAGAGAGACAGAGCATTGAGGCTCACTCCCTGCTAGGTTTGCTGGGGAGTGGGAGTGAAGGGGGGTGAGAATGGCAGTACAGGGAGGAGGGAGAAGAGAGAATAGAGAGGAAATGAGACTCATACAAACAACAGGGATGAGGTCCAGTCTCTGTTGTCCCTTGGCTTGGCACAGGGAGGATACTGCCTCAAATCCTGAACATCGGAGAGGGGAAAAAGACTGGAAAAATGCAGGTTTTGTGAACTGGGATGTTACTTCCCCCGAGTGTAACCTGTTCCTTCTCTGTCTTTCTCCTTGGAGTGATATGCTTTGGGGCAGGAAGTCTTTCTAGGACACACAGATAAACTGGCCTTTGGACTTGAAGATGAATAATGTGCACATGTCTGCAGATGTTCTTTGCCTCTGCCATTTTTCGAGTGGTATATAGGGGAAGGGACTTGTACGTGGGTCAATGTTTCAGCCTCTCTTACACACACATACATATATGCATATTACACACAATACTTATTTTTCTTTCTTTGCTTTCCTTTTTTCCTTCCTTCTTTCTTTGAGATGGAGTTCTTGCTATGTAGCCCAGGGTGGCCTGAAACTCAATATGTAACTCAGGTTGTGATAAAATTTGTGATCCTCCTGCCTCAGCTCAGCCTCTCGAGTGCTGGGATCACAAGTGTGTGCCAACATGCCTGGCCTCAACCCTCCTTACCTCCCTCCCTTCTTTCCTCATTCTTTTTTTTTCTTTCTTTCTTTCTCTCTCCCTCCACCCCCCTCTTTCTTTCTTTCATTCTTTCTTTCTGAGGCAGGGTCTCCCTGTAGCCACAGCAGGCCTGAAACTCACTATGTCGACCAGGCTGGCCTTGATCTCACAGAAATCTGCCTGTTTCTGCCTCCCAAGTGCCAGGATTAAAAGTGTGTGTCACCATGCCCAGCTGACACCCTATCTCTTTTTTCTTTTTTCTTCATTTTTTTTTTTTTTTGGTCTCTTTTTTACTTTTTGAGACAGGGTCTCCCTGTAGTCCCAGCTGCCTGGAACTCACTCTGTAGATCAGGCTGGCCTTGAACTCACAGAGATCTACCTGCCTCTGCCTCCCCAGTACTGGGATTAAAGGCATGTGCCACCATGCCCGGTGACACCCTATTTCTTAAGGACCATGTTTAATTTATTTTTTCTCTTCCTCAGCTCCCCTCACCCCATCTGAAATAACCAAGATCACATAAAAAATGTACCATAGATAACACCTTTCTTCTCTTTGAGTGTTTGCAGAGGGGACAGAGTCGGAACCTCAGTAAGGAGGTAAAAGGGTAGCACGGGACTTAGCTGATGGATAATATTCCCTGGCTGGGAAAGGTACAGGATGCTGTCTGTCTGGATGATTAGAGATGCCCTGAACCGTGACAGATCTGGGGTTGCACATGGAGCATTGTATTGTCCTCTGCCTAGTAGCAGGCCAGCTTCCCCACAGACCAGTCCTGTAGAAAACAAAACCCCTTTCTAGCTTGCTGTTCTGTTGCCACTGTCACTTTGTTATGAGGGTTAGTGACTGTCCATTAACTCCGGAGAGCTGATTCTTGCCAGTGCTGTACCAACAGCTGGGAGCCAGAAAGCGCTGACGTGGGTGGGAAGGGGGGCTGGTCCCCCCACCCTGGCTGGGCACTCAGGGGAAGTCAGGGAGGTCACTGGCAAGGCTTACTCAGCTCTACCCGAGTGCCAATTAGCTAAGGTTTTCTGAGCATTGGCCAGGCCTGACACAGTTGAGAGAAATTATTGTAAGAGAAGCTCATTTTGTTTTTTATAAAATAGAATTCTCTTCACAGGGATGGATCTTTCCTGACTGTCCCCTCCTCCAGTCTTCCAGGGAGGGAGACCAGCAACTCAAGAAGAGATGACCAAGGGTCAAGTCTATTGCTACTTACAAGGTTGGTGAGTGGGGTGGATTCTGGCCTCTTGGTTTAGAGTCTGAGGTCTATCAGCTTAGCCACTCTATATAAACTGTGGTTTTCCCTGAGAAATAAGGGAAACATAGTTCTTAAGAAAAATGCCAATACATAAATGATCTTTTTCTGCTTCCTCTAGTTAGCTCATTTCCACTCCACTCATAAAATCAAGTTCATCATAGGAAGGCCATTAACTTACTTGGCAAATCAGGTTAATGAAAGTGCTGTCCTGTATCCAAGGCAGATACAGGTTCATGGATTTGGGAGAGTCTCAGAGAGCCCCACAGAGCATCAGGACTGGGAATCTTAGGTCTCATCTGTTTCAAGTATCTCTTATTACAGATGAGAAAACTGAAGTCCAAGACAGTCAGTAGCAGATCTGGAACTGAATACTGGGCTCCCAGTTTCCAAGTCAAACACTGTTATACTGATACATTTTCACATTTCATCCTTTTATTTTGCACCCAATTACTGAGTCCTTACTATCTTCCAGGTGCTGTGGGGGAAGGGGTGTGGAGGGATGTAAAGAGATGAAAACAACACAATCCCTGCCTTCAAGGAGCTATTTTCCCTAGATCTGTGACTCTTGGGGGAAAATAAAAAAACAAAAACTATGAATCAGACTCTCACCCTATATCATCTTCTATAGGTGATGATGGAGGAAGAAGGGATAGGGAACGCTTTAGTTTCTTGGAGCTTTATTAAGTTGGACTTCACTGATTCTGGTACTACTGAGAGGCTGAGGGAAAAAGGAGCATGGCTGAGCTGGGAGAAGAGGGGGCAGAGGTAACAATGATCAGGCCCCTGCCAGCAGGCCTGACTAAGGAATGGGGACCATGACAGTCCCTTGCACTGTATGGAGACACGGAATCTGGTGACAATTCCCTGAGGTGGGCAGATGCTCAGAGTTCTTATCCTCACCTTAAGAATGAAGAAACTGGGGTTCAGAAAGCTTGGTTAACTGAGAAACCAGTAACTGGAAGCTTCTAGCTAGGGGCCTTTCTATTGTTGGGGTGGGGTGGGGGGTGTGGATTGTGCTGGATTAGAGGATAGTGATGGAGCATTATGAAGCCAATGGTCAGCCACAGTAATGGACAAGTCTTCCTCTACGCAGTTTTATTTGCATTGCTCCATTCTGTCGCTCACAGAACTCTGCTCTGAAGAACTGGAAGCACTTTGCAGGCCTGAATGAGCTCATTCAACACACTCTTGCCAGAAAGAGGAGAGAACTCCAAATGGAGGCTGTGTCCAGGGTCATCAGCATTCAGGCACAAACTAGAAAAACAGACCCAGGTCCCCTACTCTGTCCTCCCTAACCAAGGAATGTGATGCAAAACTTGAGGGACTGAGGAGGGCCACAGGATAAAGCTAAGGTATCTTTTGAGGTCTCTCTCCTTCCCCGGGGGCAGGGATTAATCAGGACTGAGGAGATAGACCCTTTCCTTGGCCCAAGGACCATTCCAGGGCAAGGGCATCTCAGAGCAGAAGGACAGCAGCTTCCCCAGCCACCCTGGTGACCAGGTTTTGGCAGGTTTTGTACAGCCCGCTCAGATTTTACTAATGTCATATTCTTGGTGGAGACTGGGGTACCAGGGGGTCTGGGAGACTCTCGTTAGCGTTCCTGCAACCAGTGGGCAAGGTGTCTCAGAACTGCCTGAGGTCGGGGTCAAGGCCTGGTGATATAGGGTCAAGGTGCCCCAGTGCCTACCATAGTCCGGATCCCTCAAGTCCCTCCTAGTGTCTCCTCACTACGGGGTGAGGGATGGGAATGGACGTGGCCCGCGCTCTTAAGGAGCGCAAGGAGCAGCAGGGACTCAGAGCTCCATCTCAGAGAGGGCTCCCACAGCTCTCGCCCGCTCCGCGCCTAGCTCTGCGTTCCCGCCGAGCCCCCAGACGGCCCCTTACCTGTCGCGCTGCGGACCGTCCCGCCTCCTCGCGGGGCTCGGGGGCCCGGCATGGGCCGGCAAGCGGCGGCGTCCCCGCCTGGCGGCCGCGGTGAAGCTCAATACTCCCAGCCCCGCGTCCCAGCCGCCGCAGCTTCAGCACCGCGGACAGCGCTGGCCCCGCCGCCGCCGCGCAGCGCTCCCGAGGCGGCTCAGCGCCGACTTGGGGGAGCAGCAAGGAGGGTCCGTCCCCGCCTCCCGCCGCCGCCGCCGCCGCCTCCCTCTCGCCTCGGTGCTCCCTGCTCCCTTCCACGCTCCAGAATCAGCCCACCAGACACTCCGGACCCAGCTCCCGGAGGGGAGGGGCAGGGCGGGGCGGGAAGTCGGGGCGCCCGGAGGCGGCGGTGAAGCGAGGGGCGCGCAGCTGGAACCGGCTTTTCTGTTTCCTGGAGCCCAGCCCTCTTTCCCAGCCCTTCTCCCTACCCTCCTCCGGCGCACCCCAGAAGCGCTGCTCGCGGCCCTTGGGCTTCTTAGAGCATTTGGAGCTCCTGGGCTCCCAAGCTCTGAGTTTTAATATTGGTTTGCCCTAAAAGGCAAAATAAACAGAAAGCATTTACTGAGTGCCTACTGAATGCCAGGCACCATGCCAGGTTATTTTTTATTTTTTTTTTTAGCCAAAATAATCTCATTTAATTTTAACAACTCTTTTGGGCACCCTCTATCTCCCAATACGGATGAAGATGCTGGGCTTACAGAGGTTAAATCTCTGGAGACGTGCATAGACTTGAAAGTCCATGGGTCCAAGTTCTGGTGGTAGCTTGTCCCACTTACTGTGTGACCTGGAGCAAGTTATTTACCCTGTCAAATCCTCAGGTTCTCATGTATAAAATGGTTCACAATATCCACCTATGAGGGGTCATGTAAGGACATATGTGACACATTGTCATCCAATAGGATGAGTGGGTGAGCCATCACCTCAGTTGGGGGGTGGCTGTAACCTGACCACAGGGCTTTTGGCTGCTTTGTTTTTCTCATTTTTTCTGTACCTCTCATTTCCTTTTCCTTTTCCTTTAGCATGGGGATAGCCCTGCCTTGAGTGTTGTGAGTGGATGAAGCTATTTTTCACGTCCCCACCCATCCACCCATGACAAGGTCTTGAGACTCATCATGGTACCTAGAGTTCAGAAGGAGAACAACTTCTCATCTAATGAAGGTAAGCAGGGACTCACAAAGGAAACCCCAGAGCAGGCCAAGGCTAGGTAGGGTTGGGGGAGGCCCTGGGAACCAGGCTCTGAAGTGATTCCTACCTCCCCCCATTCAAGGAACCAGGCTCTGAAGTGATTCCTACCTCCCCCCATTCAAGGATGCCACAGCATACTGGGCTCTAATGGACAAGGATCGTCCAGAACAGTTCCCTTTAGCTCCCAGCATGCAGAGGAAGGGCCAGAAGCTGGCCTCCACCATCAGTGAGGGGCTTGGGTCTCCTTCCCTTCAAACTGGGAAAGCTCCCTTGGTCTGGGGTATGTCTCAGGTCTGGTATTGGTGGTTAATTTGGTTGGTGTTAAATATATCCTTGCTTTTCTTGCCCCTGCCCCACTAGACTTATACTAGGAAGGCTCTTGGGCCGCTGATCTGCACAGATGCCCCTCCCCAAGACATCATCTCTTATGTCCCTTTGCTTTCCCTGTCATAGGCGCTTATGACCCCCTATTTGGTTTTGGCCTCCCTCTGCTTCTCCCCTCCCCACCCTGGCTCTGTTCCATGTCTGGGCTGCTTACTGAATTACTAATTGAAAAGATAATAAAAAAGCCAGTGAAGCAAAAGCTGCATATAACTTCCAAATACTAATGTTGATAATTATATGCTACTGTCTAGAGGGAAGGTTCCAAGAAAAGCCTTTGGTTGATAGTATGTCAAGGGCCATGGCCTGGGCTCCAAGAAATCTTAGGTGCTGGTCTTGCTGTGTTGCTGGTTAACTGTGCAACCATAGGTAGTTGCCAATCCTTCTGGGACTTTGCTTCATTAGAATTCTAAACCCCTTGAGCAACTTCACAGAAACTGTAAGGACAATCAGCATTGTATGAATTTCTACTGGGGATCAGTTGGCTAATGCATCAATGAGACTTTCTTTTAGGGAAACTACCTTTTACTACCTACAAGGTATAGGTGGGACTGAGTCCATAACTGCAAGTTTCCATTGGGTTTTCTATTCCCTCTCTATATCCTCCCTTCCTTTCTCTGTCAAGTTATGTGATGAAATTCAGTTCAGCTTGTCACTCAGACCTTGAGATGCAAAGTATATGCCCCAGTCCAGGTCTTTAAAGGAGCTACACTAAAGGGTTTTAGATAGATAGACATATTGGTCAGCAATTCTGACACATGGCAGTAAGTGCTGTCATGGACTGTTTGTTAAGTGCTCTGTCTGGGGGAAGTCCCAGGACACTTCCTGGAGGTGATGACATTTGAACTGTGTTTTATTAAAGGATGAGACAGTCTCACGACTGGCTAGGAAGGCTGGAGTCAAGGGAGAAGGTTGGACAGGCAAGAAAGTAATAGCAGAGTCCACTAAAGAGATGGTGAGAATTTGAACAAAGCTGAGTCAGTGGGATGGGGAACAAGAAACAGATTTAAGATACTCTGGGTGAGAGCGAAGAGGAGAAACTGACTGTGTGGAAGGACACAAGAGTTAAGAAGAAATATTGGGGCCTCCTCCTTCTGGGAAGCTGACACTTCCTGTCAGAGGGCATGAGGAAGGGAGTAAACTGTGTGCTTCAGGCAATGCTGCAGGGTGCCATCCACCCCAAAGCTTCTAGGCTTTCACACTGTCACTTTCAATTCACTCTCCCTTGAATTCCAAGGAAATTTCTTTAAGCCAAAGACTTCCCTTTCAGGCTGGGGAGATGGTTCAGCAGGGAAAATGCTATGCAAACATGAGGACCTGAGTTGAGATTGTGGTATCCTCAGCACCCACATGAAAAGGCGGGTATGGTGGTGTACACCTCTAATTCCAGAACTGGGAGGTAGAGACCAGAGAATGGAGGACCTTACTGGCCAGCCAGTCTAGCCAATCAGTGAGCACCAGGTTCAGTGAGAGACTTTGTCTCAAAAAATAAAATGGTGTGTGATAGAGGAAGACACCCAACATCAACCTGTGTTCTCTATGGCCACACATACGCACACACACACACACACACACACACACACACACACACACATACGCACACACACACACACACACACACACACACACACACACCACACACACACCAAAAAACATCACACACACACACACACACACACACACACACACACACCACTCATACACCAATAAAAACTCCTTTCCCAACTTATTGTGATTGTTGTGATTGTCTTAATGGAAAGGTAAATGCCCTGAGATAGGCCAGGAGAGGTGAGGCAGAATAGCTCTAGAAGCCCACTGGGAGATGGGAGTGGGCAACAGGCAGTGGGCATCAGGTGTCCTTACTGGGACAGATTCAAAGTCTATAAAGAAGGGATAGGGTAGTCACAGAGTGACTGGGAGGAGTGCCCCTGTGTCCTGATTTCCTCCCACCTCTCTGACAGCCCCCAGGAGAAATGCAGCACTGGTGGTTTCTGATTTCCTTGGAGTCAGCTAATCTTTTTCCACCTGCTAATCTCTTCCCACCTGGGGACTTCCTTTCATAAGATTTTTCATGCATAAACTCTAAGTTCTTTTTACATGGGGTTGATTTCTTCAACCCAGTTTCCTAGAGAATGTAAATCAGCACCAAATATAGGGAGCCTTGCTCTGCTTCCTGTTCCAACAGGCCACACATTCAAAGAGATGCTCCCTATAAGAGGAAAGGCAAGTCCTGTCCTGGCCCCTGCTCAGTGGCCCAGCACCTCCTCATTAAGTTCATGGTTAACATTATGTGATTGTGTTCCACAAGGCATGGGTGATGTGAGGGACAGGCTAGAAGGGGACAGGAATATACGGGCCTTTGGACTGCCCATCAGTCAAATCCTTGAACCCATGGCATGGCTCCAGGAGGGCACAGTTCCCAAGAGATACATTTGGGGGTGTAGACAGCTAGTGGGAACCAATTCTTGACTCTGAACCCAATAGAGAAATGTGGAAACTATCACTGCTCTGAGTCAGACCCTGTACCCAGACCCCTTGCACCCACCAGCAGTATCTGAAGCTTGTCTCAAACTCCTCCTTTGGGGACTTTGGGAGTAACACTACCAGCTGCTCACTTCCTCTCTCCATGGGAGACTGAAGATGAGGCCATTTCTTTAGAAACACACTGATTCATTCCAGAGAAAGAAGATGAGGCAAGTTCTCAGCCCCAGTTCTGCCCAGCTCTCCACTGCCCTGCCAAGCACATGCTCATTCAAGCCTGGGGAGGAGAGTGAAAGAGTTACTACAACTCTGAAAGGCAGAAGCAGAGCATAAGAGAGGAACAGAGCCACCACAGCCTACACAGCTCAGAACTCCAGTGTTCACTCTGACATCCACAGGCTGCCCCAGGGCATGGGAGCATTTGCTCACTGCCAGAGAACTGTACTGTTGGGCACCCTCTCACTTCTGCAGAGCAGAGATGTACAGTGTGCATGTGTGACGGTGTGTGGAGCTGGCGGGATGATCAGCAGCCACAAGCTGACTGAAAGTTTCTCTCAGTTGATGCCATGACAGAATGGAATGATGTGGAAGGGCAGGAATGCTTTCGATTTGTTCGCACACCATAGTTTGAGAAGCATCTGCTCAGCCACTATCTCATTTGAGTCCAGAGATCAATAGTAAGCTAAAGGAAAAGAAATCAAATAGATGCATGACCCCTCTCTCCTCCATCCTCAAAGCCAGAGCCAGACAGATGGGCACTGTAAACAGAGGCCTTCTCTACCATCACCTTGAACAATGCTGAGAGGTCTCCAAACTCTGATTGAAGCTTTCAGAAAGGCTAACACTCATAGGACCCAGAACCATCCGTCTGTCCGTCCGTGTGTGTGAGTGTGTGTGTGTGTGTGTGTCCTCTAACTTGCAGTGGTCTTCCGGCCTCTGGTTCCTGAGATTACAGGATTAAATCAACATGCCAATGCCACACATTTAATG